CTTGCATCTTTCATAAGTTCAAAAACTCTCCTAAACTCATCCGAAACTCACCCGAGCCCTCGGGGCTCCAAACCAAACATGCTTACTAACTCAAAAACATCATATGAACTTATCCGTGCGATCAAATCACCAAAATAACCTCTTAAACAACGAATTTAGTATAGAAATTTAAGAAAAATCTCAAAACTTTCAAAGTAGGTATTTTCTCAACTACGGGTCCGATTCACCTCAAGCGACCTCCGTTTCTTACCAAATTTCGCAGACTCATCTTATTTCACATATAAGACCTGTACCGGGCTCCAGAACAAGAATACGGACCCGATACCATCAAATTCTAAATGCATTTCATTTCCAAAACTCATAGAAATTTCCAGAAAATAATTTTCTTTAAAAATTCATTTCTCGGGATTGGGACCTCAGAATTTAATTCCGGGCATACGCCCAAGTCCCATATCTTTCCACGGACCCCCCAGGACCGTCAAATCATGGGTCCGGGTCCGTTTACCCAAAATGTTGACCGAAGTCAACTCAAATGCATTTTAAGTTAAAATTTAAAATAATTTCACAGATTTTCACAAAAATGGCATTCCGGCTATGCGCCCGAACTACGCAAGCAAATCGAGGTGATGCCGAAAGAGGTCTTTAAGGCCTCGGAACACAGAATTTATTTCTAAACCAAGTGATGACCTTTTGGGTCATCACATATGCCCAGCATCGCTCTTGTGTTTTGCCGATGTGGGACTCTGTCAAAAGTCTGGGGGTGCTATAGAGATTGCGAGTCCCTCATTCCACATCTTAAAGAGAAATTCAAATCAGGCAAAGAATATGACATATATAATAAGCCCCAATAATACTAAAGAAATTAGGAAAAAATGTCAAAACTCACCACGGATTGAAGGCCACCATGAGAGCCCCAGTCTATTATAACAAAAGACATCCAGTGTCTATCTTTTGAACTATATGTAATTTTCAAATAGAAACAATTGCAAAATTAGATAACATTCTCACAAATTGGCAAGTTAGTGGATTTATAAGATATCTTCTCTTCACACCAACAACCACTATCAAACTAGCCTCACCCTGGCACGAGTATTCTGAGAAACCCCATTGTCACGACCCCAGTTCGCCCTCCGTGAACCATCATAACGGCACCTAGTCCCTACGACTAGGTAAGCCTAACAATGCGGAAAGTAAACCAATTTGCGAAAGAAAAACAAATAAAACCGAAATAGTGAATAAAACAATGTTTAATAGTGCCGCTCGGCATACACCAAATCAACTCTCGAATACTAATACCTTTCCCAAAATCCGGAATCTCATGAAATCACAAGGTAAGGATACTACATAGTGCTCTAACTTCAGAATGTCTAAAATAAAGTAAATACAGAAGGGCTGTAACTACAAGAGAGAATGGAGAGAGAGTCCTCGGTCTGCGGACGCGGCAGATATACCTCGAAGTCTTCGAAGGGTCGCCTCGCCTCAAGGATGGTAAGTCTGAGTAGAGGTACCTGGATCTGCACATGAAAAACATGCGCAGGAAGGGCATGAGTACCATGGTCCAAAATGTTGAGAAAAATTGTAATAAAACCGATGTTAGCACAAGTACATGACGGTGATACAAAAGTTGTCATTTGTCCATAAATTTGCATATTCCATGCCAAGTGCTAGCATCTCAGAAGAAGTAAAATAGAGTTCATTGGTTTATACCCTCTATAACTACATCTAATCATTGGTATATGAAGTAGGTTGAGTACTAGGGATAAAAATGCTATGATGGGGAGTGACAAACGTTACTATATTTTAGCATACTTCACCACTGAATCTGAAAATTTCTCCCCTCTATCGTTTGCATTCTGCATCGATTTTAATTTATAAAGCAAAAACATAAGCATTTTGTGTGATTTGCTCCACCATTTGAGTTCGCCAAAATGTTGTGATTTGAAGTGCCGCTATCACAGAATAGTTATTCCGTTCTATCCTGGGAGGAATTAATCCGAAACATTGAGCAACTGTGAGGGGATTAAATTCTTTAAGGACACACAAGGAACTTCTGGGCTTGGAATTTTCTGTTATTTGTTCCTAAAACTAACGACTTCTGATTTTCTGGTTTGAATACATATTATTAACAGGGACTGCTATTAAGTAGAGTCTGAAGTCGTTTTCGTCTAAACTTAGATGAGATAGAGAAAGCTTATTCAAAAAATGACAGTTCGCCACACCACCAGATAAAGAAACATTCATTAGATCACAACCCTCTAGAACCAATTCTCATAAATATTTTGATGCCAAGATTATGAAAATAGGCAAGGGATGTGATAAAAGTTTTGTATATGACAGATGTTTTACACCATTCTGAATTGCAATGTCGTGCCACTTATCAGCCAGAATGAAAACTTCACGAGAATAAGATTCTAAACACTTTGAATATTCAAACTTTTCAATAGGAATTTTGTTGTCCTTGTATCTCTCGAGGATTGAGTCCACTATTTTCGCGTCCTTATAATGACAAACTATGAATTTTAAGTTGACAAGAAAGTAGTTTCACATCCCATGTCTATTTTGAGGATAATTGCATATTCTGTGAAAGAATAGAATGTAAATGATGGGAAGCAAAAGCTTGCTTAAAAATACATTAAATCTTTCTTAATTAATTCATCATGGTGCTCCTAGATATTCTGATTATTAAATGACAGATTAAATGAGATTTCAATTCTATGACAAATCAAGTGGATAAAATGGTAGATAAACCTCGTTTTTTTAATTGTTGTTGTTAAACAATTAGTCAAAAAACCAACTAATTGGTAGTTAGGGGAATTAAAGTTGTTAGAATATAATGCTCTTTGCCTAGCACCTTACAAATTTGGAGAAATTTCAGACTCATCCACTATATTTTCGGTCACTGCTAGCTCAATTTTTTCCTAAACACAATACACATAATCAAAAAAAATTGAGCCAACATTATAAATTGAGCACCTGGCGAAGTAAGTAAATCAGATACATTTGCGCTTAATTTTTTAAATCTTCCACACATCCTTAGATCACCAAATGAGCCATGATAAATACACAAGTACCAGTAGTAAGTGTTGGTGGTGTATTAAAGAATTACAAGAGGACCCTCAAATGAATTTCTTGTTGATTGTTAAAGAATTACAAGAGGACCCTCAACTAATGATTGTCAAACAATATCTAACCAAAAAAATACAAAATCCACACATAACTTCTAGAGATCTAACCCACTATATGAACCTATTAATGGGTTAGATCTTTTATAAGGCACTTCAGTTTTGTATCAATCCACAAATTTTATTTTACACTCAACAAGTATATTCTAGTTAAATTCATATAATCCTATATTGTCCACCCGAACTTCTCTGTAACAGAGTATTTTCATTCAACTTTCACTATAGGCAGTTAGTTTTCTGGATATCCTATTTGTGGACCTCATTATAATATTTATCGTTCTGTGCTAGGTCACCAATCACATGGTGGCTAGTGAGAAAGGTACTTCAGAAAGGAAATAATAACAGGCACATAAGGCTTGTTGCAATCAGTAGCACTGGTGATAGTTAATAGCTCATCGAACTATACACAAACCACTCCATAGTAATCAATAGCATTGATGATAGTATATAACTTACACATATTTCTTTTGCCTCCTCATTCACATATGATCCATCTTTTTTCGTATGTGTAGCAAGATAAAGTTGTGCTCGTCCAGGCTTTCTCCCTGTCTTAGCCATCTATATATGGGGAAAAAATTAAGAATAGATTAACTACAGTAGAAAAAATAGATACACAATCTAAAATTAAATAGTAAAGTAAGATAAAGGAAGTGAGCCTTTTGGTATCTCCTTGTGAATCTGTAATATAAAAAAAGGCAGAATAGCCTAATAAACACTTTTACTTGTCCTGCTTTGTCATCCCGGTCCCGATACTTTACGAAGTTTCATCTGGACACTCGTAATTTTTAAAATACATTACTTTAAACCCCTCTGACCATTGACCAAGCATATGTGGCATATGCATTGCTGAGTTGGCTAAAATGCGTGATTGCACGCTCTAAAAAGCTAGTAACTTTGATAATTCCAATTAAAAAAATAACAAAAAATGAAAAAAATATTCTTAAACAAAAATTCAGGTTGTAACTTTACTGCAGTTCCTAGTACAAAGAGAAAGTTTAAGACTCCATTAAAGGAGCTCGAAGCTTGAGTTTAAATTCCGGGTTTGCGAAATTGGATTCGGGTTTGATTGGGTGTCTTGGCAAATAATTGGGTATACCTTTGGGATTTAGTATCTCGAATTTGAGGCGATTTGCAGAAGATTTAGTCTAGTTTTGAGCGAGATTTTAGCTGCAACACAAAGCTAAGTTCGAAATTTTCAAATCTGCAATCTTCCTGCGCACTGTTTTGTGTCAATTTAAATACACAAAACTTTACTTTCTTGATTTGGGTATTTGGTTTTGAACTCTGCTGGTTTTGAATCTTTATTGCGCAAGTAGCAAAGTAGTAGTTCTTCCATTTTGGGGGCTCTTCGCCGGCGCCAGCGACAGGAAATTTGGAAGGGGATTTTCTTTAATGTTTGAATTTTTATTTTAGTTTTTTTTTAATTTTTGTTTTTAATTATTTTTAATCGGCCATGTGACATGGCATTTAAACATTGTTATTTTTTGACGTGGCAGCTAACGTGGAGGAGATTGTATTACACGCACTGCAGCCTCCTGTCATAAGCATTTATTATACACGATTTGAAGGAGTGTAAGTGTTCAATTGGCAAATTGTTAAGTTTGGGGACCGGCATGACAAAGTGGCACAAGTATAGGTGTCATTTAGGCTATTCTGCCTATAAAAAAATGATGAAACTCAGCATTAGTTGATATTAACAGACAGCTTACTACATGGTTCAGAGAAGATAAAACTTTCGAGTCAAAGATCTTCATATTAATTAATAAAAGCTTTAAGGATTAGTAAGACCATAATTGATAATACTACAATTTTCTCATGTATTACTGAAATGAGTTGTATGTTGGTTGTATTGTTTTGTAAAGAAACTTCTATATGTATTGCAAGAAAATACTACAAACACCTTGTAGCCATCTCATACTCAACAAAAACTTCTATATGTCTTGCTGTTGGAACTGGCTAATAGCAAGACATATAAAAACTAAGAAAGCATGAAACCCTCAAAGTTCAACCTAAAAGTGATCTCACAAAAAATGAACAGAGGTTAAGATTCACAACATTGTCAAAATCATTCCGGCACATTTCATGGGACAGGGGGTTCGCCTTTAAAGCCACTGTAAGATAGAAGGAATGAAAACATTGTAAATGTCACGAACAAAAATAAATGCCTTCAAAAAAACCAAAAGAATGCACTCACAAATATTGCAGAACTTCATAAAATAGATAAAACAATGAGCTGGTTTCAAGCCAGTCCGACCCTTAGTAAAAGCACCAATGTAACGATCTGATTCACACACAGGGATGAGAGGGATGAGTAGAACAGAGGAAGAAAGAAGAGGAGATGAGAGGGAAAACAAAGAGTAACAACTTTAGCCTGCCTCACATTTTGCTCCTTACTGCTAATTGAAGACTACAAAGCAATACATTTCGGTTATACTTTAATGTCCTATACATCAACAACGGCAGAAATTATAACGAAAGGATAATGATTACCTATTCCATCGACAGTCCAATGATGTGAAGACTCACGTTTAGCACGCTTATTGGATGTTGCTTGTGGTGGTGTGGGATTAACAGGAGGTTGAAATGAAGGAGTTGGTAGTGATGTCGCCTGAAATTAAAGAGTCAGCTGAATGGAAGGAGTTGTCTGCCCCGTGGCCTGAAATGAAAGAGTTTGCTGTCCTGTGGCTTGTAATGAAGGAGTCTGCTGCAATGTAGTAGGGAATGAAGGACCCAATTGTGATGTCATATCTTGTGTCGCATCAATAGGTTCTGAAGGGGGCGCTGATTGGACTGGCTTTTTCAGGTTTTGGAAATGTTTGGTTTTCGGCATATCTACAATCAACAAATATGGAGCAACTCTTGTGCAACACCATTTATAAGTATATTTGAAGTTATTTATGGACTAAAGACTTATACAGTACTAAACAACTTACAGTTTATGAAGGAACTATTTCTATATCTAAAGTTATATGAGAACGACTTACACATTATTAAACAACTTGAAGGAACAAAAAATACTTAAAAATGAATTGAAACATACAAAAATAAATTTCTTACCTCCGATATCGACAGAGTTCTGAAAACTTCTACTAGATTTTCCAATAAATCAGCCTCTCTATCCTATTTGATAAAACAACAAAAATTGTACTCGAAACAGAAATATTTGACAAGTTGAAAACTTACACAAAGTAGAATTACAAGTACAGAGAACCCCGATAAGTAACCTTATTACAAACTCATTTTGCAGCATTAAACATATTGTGAAAATTTAACTACTAGAAAAAATTAAATATGCAAATAAAATAGTAAATAAGAGAAAGAGTTGGAGGGAGTGCACCGAATTCGGTAATAAATTGAACACTTGATGATTTCGCAACTCCAATGTTACCACGAAGAAACGTCAATTGTTCAAAGTTTGAAGTTCAATTGTTCAAACTTCAAATAATAAATAATACGATCAACTAAATTCAAAAAAAAAAAAAAAGAGAACCAACTACTAATCCCTAACATATCTTTCCGCACATATGCAAATAATTTCGTTACATATCTGTAATAGTGACTTTACATATAGTAATTGTCACGACCCAAACCCCGATCCGGTTGTGATGGCGCCTCTCGTGAAGACAAGGCCAGCCAACCAACCCATATCGCCCTTTCAAAATTAGTTAAACATGAATAAGCAGTCTAAATATGATTTACTAATATTAATTAGCGGAGGTACAACCTAACACAGCCCTAATCGGGGTGTCACAAGTCACGAGCATCTATAAGAGTGTAAATACAACTACAAGGCCTACAAATACACTGAACAGGAATAATGAACAACAGAAAGAGAGAAGCGGCGCTGCGAACGCTGGCAGTCACCTCGCTAAACTCCTATAGCTCTGCCTCCAATCAGCCAAAACCTGCTACCGGGTGAAGAAATACCTGCATCTGCACACGAGGTGCAGGGAGTAATGTGAGTACTCCAACCCAGTAAGTAATAAGAGTAAATAGAGGCTGAGCAGTAGGAAACAATGAATCCACATTCGTGTTTGGCTCAATAATCACAACAGGCTTTCAAATCATAATACGAGTCAACCTTTCCTTTTTAAAACCCAGCTTTTAGTGAAAATCATTTTTGAAATGCTTCCAGCAGTTTCAGTAGGGGTTCAATACCATTTAAAAATAATAATAGAGATTAAAGCAATAATCGGCCCCTCGGGCAAAGCATAGTTCGTAAAACAGCCCCTCGGGCAAAAACAATAATCATAAATAATTCATAACTTGAAAATCTCGGTGGAAATATCCAAATGCCAAATCAGTGATTAATTTCTGAACATCTCATAAACCCCAGTTTAAATAAAAGTTGTTGTAAAACATTTGCTCAGCTTCCGACAGAGGCTCAATGTAAAGATGAGTGAAAACAGTCAATCAATCAACATATTCGATAGAAACTCACTTTAAAGAGAAGGGAAATCAATAAGTTCATAAACAGGCCTCTCAGGCAAACATCACTCATATGCATGTCTATATCTATCGCCCCTCGGGCTAGCCTCTCTGTCACTCGTGACTCAACTCTTACCAATCAGTGCTCACACTCAGCACTCACGCTCAATAGGTACCATATAGTAACCGCTGCGGCGTGCAGCCCGATCCATATACATATAATAACCGCTGCGGCGTGCAGCCCGATCCATATATCGTCGACGGCGCTCACTGGGGTGTGCAGACTCCGGGAAGGGCCCCTTACGGCCCAAGCGCAATATTGTTGCGGCGTGCAGCCCAATCCATATAAGTATACTGCTGCGGCATGCAGTCCGATCCTTATAAATATACTGTTGCGGCGTGCAGCCCGATCCATATAAATATACTGCTGCGGCGTGCAGCCCGATCCAGGTATATATAATCCTCACAGCCAGGCCCTCGACCTCTCTCAGTCATTAGCCTCACCATCAGACTCTCAGTCTATCTCAGTCATCAACTTCACAATTAGACCCTCGGTCTATCTCAGTCATCAACTCACTATCACTCGGACCATTAGTAAAACAGGGAACTTAACCCAAACAGTCTTTTACATTTTTAAGAAATATGGTGATAAAGCCAGATTTTTAAACAATAAGCCGATAAAACATGACTGAGGATATGCTATCAACACATATAGTGAGGAAAAATAGTAAAAATGCCCCTAAGGGTCTCAACAGGTCGGCACAAGGCCCCAAACATGGCATACAACCTAAAACACAATAATATCAGACAGTTAACTATCAAATGCGCATTAAAGTACTCTTTCGGGACGGACTAGGTCACAATCCTCAGCGGTGCTCTACCCCACGCTCGTCATCCAGCGTGCAAGTCACCTCAAAGTAACACAACGATGTGTAATCCGGGGTTTCAAACCCTCAGGACAGTATTTACAATCATTACTACCTCGAACCGGCGAAAATCTNCATGGGACAAGGGGGTTCGCCTTTAAAGCCAACTGTAAGATAGAAGGAAATGAAAAACATTGTAAAATGTACACGAACAAAAAATAAAATGCCTTCAAAAAAACCAAAAGAATGCACTCACAAATATTGCAGAACTTCATAAAATAGATAAAACAATGAGCTGGTTTCAAGCCAGTCCGACCCTTAGTAAAAGCACCAATGTAACGATCTGATTCACACACAGGGATGAGAGGGATGAGTAGAACAGAGGAAGAAAGAAGAGGAGATGAGAGGGAAAACAAAGAGTAACAACTTTAGCCTGCCTCACATTTTGCTCCTTACTGCTAATTGAAGACTACAAAGCAATACATTTCGGTTATACTTTAATGTCCTATACATCAACAACGGCAGAAATTATAACGAAACGATAATGATTACCTATTCCATCGACAGTCCAATGATGTGAAGACTCACGTTTAGCACGCTTATTGGATGTTGCTTGTGGTGGTGTGGGATTAACAGGAGGTTGGAATGAAGGAGTTGGTAGTGACGTCGCCTGAAACGAATGAGTCGGCTGAGTGGAAGGAGTTGACTATTCCGTGGTCTGAAATGAAAAAGTTTGTTGTCTTGCCTGAAATGAAGGAGTTGACAGTGTTGTGGCCTGAAATGAAGCGGTTTGCTGTCTTGTAGCTTGAAATGAAGGAGTTGGTAGTGATGTCGCCTGAAATGAAAGAGTCGGCTGAACGGAATGAGTTGTCTGCCCCGTGGCCTGAAATGGAAGAGTTTGTTGTCTTGTGGCTTGTAATGAAGGAGTCGGCTGCAAGGTTGAAACATACAAAAATAAATTTCTTACCTCCGATATCGGCAGAATTCTGAAACCTTCTACTATATTTTCCAATAAATCAGCCTCTCTGTCCTATTTGATAAAAACAACAAAAATTATACTCGAAACAGAAATATTTGACAAATTGAAAACTTACACAAAGTAGAATTACAAATACAGAGAACTTTTCAGTTTTTATTTTTCAAACCAAACTCTATGAGAGAAAAGTAAAAGTCAATAATTCTTACTAGTTAAGTAAAATGTTATGCCTATAATCAAATACAAAAAGTCCAGAAATAGAAGAAACCAGCCTGAACTAGATTTTCCATCATGCAATTTAAATTATCTAAATTACTTACCCAAAACAATAAAATTGTTATAAAACAATAAAAGAAGAAGAGTATTGCAGAGAAAAGTAGAGGGAGAGAATTCTTATTGAATTTTGGGATGAATTACAATGGAATAGAACCTCTCTATTTATAGGGAGAGAGTGACTTAGCCACCAAGTAATAAACCCTAGAATCTCTCTAAATATAGACATTCACCATAAATAAAATTCTATTTATAACACTCCCCCTTGAATGTCTATTCAACAGATAATGTGTCTCGTTAAAACCTTAACTAAAAGAAAACCCAATGGGAAAAAAATTCTAGAAAAGGAAAAAGAGTACACATATCTAATAATACGCCCTTTGGTTGCCTTGTTAAAAACCTTGCAAGGAAAACCCAGTGGGACAAAACCTTGTAAGGGAAAAAGAGTACAACGCGTATTAACTCCCCCTCATGAGAGCATCATTCACATCCTTAAGCATTTGCATTCCAATCTTGTGCACCATCTTCAAAAGATCTTTGGTAGAGATGTGATGAACAAATCAGCCATATTAACTTGAATGAATATATTGCACCTTGAAATCATCATTCTTGATTGATATGTAATGTCTTCATATAATGTCGTGGAATGGCTCTTCAATATCTCCATAGAGATTCTCGCTATCATATTATCATGTTTATAGTTATAGCAAGATACCTTTGTGCACAAATTGCACTTAGGATGAAGTACTTCATGACCATGAATTCTATATGCTTTAAGCAATTTAAATCCTTCAGGGATTGTTAAGTCATATAAGCCATATAATAGACTTTAGATGCATATCAAGTTTTCATGTCATGCTAGACATATAAGATATCGAAAACTGATTGCACATACCATTGACTTTATACTTTCAAGTGTTTGAACTTCATGTTCAAAACTACATGTCTTTCATATGAAACCAAATCTATTCAAATTGTTTCTTCAGACTTAAGATCCTCATATATATATTTAGCGTTATTATAGATGTCGTCGACAAATATTTTGTATCGGTTCCAACCTCCTTATTTTTCATAAAGACATAACATAGAGATCTCTTCATTCATATATTCAGGTACCTGAATCTCTCATGAGATTTTATGAAGTGTTATGCCATGTGATCTTCTAGATCACTTGCCTCCTTTATTATGATCATTTTGATCATTTGCTCATCTTCTTTATCAATAAGTTTATTTGAAACCGATTTGTCTATATGCTTTAAGCGTACCATAAACTTTGTCCTTCTAGGACTTAATATGAGCATTTGCAATGAGAATATAGTTACTTTCTTTGGGTCAGCAAATGCGTCCGGCATGCTTTGCAATATATTGCACATGAATTATCCTTTATGAACTTCAAGTTCATATTATCTTATTCGAGGATCGAGATGTATAAATAATAATTCATTCCATGTAACTTTTTCTCAACTGTTTATCATGTCTCCCCCTCATGTTAGAAAAACTAACTTGGTACCTCAACTTTGAGAATCCACCTTTGTGCGTTATGGTGTTAATCAAAATATACACCGCACATCAATAATAATAAGATGGAATTATTTGGTTCCTGACCCTGAACCACATGTGAGGGGAGAAAGTAATATATTTTCGTATATAACGTATATCAAACTGATATACAAAACTTTGTTCTCATAAGCAATAGTTTAGCTATTAAGTGGAGGCACTCAATAAATCATTTTGCTAAACCAGCTGTGATGTAGACCAACTTATCAAGATGAACTTCTTGAATAGAAAATCTGGAATATGCTCTAAATTAAATTATTGAGCAAGTTACCTCGCAAACACCATATTGCGGGCTAATAATAATCGCACATGCAACCATCTCATAGATGCATCTTATGTGGTATACATGGCAGGTGAATGGGCCCATATTCACCTTTGATATTTCCAGAATTCATGGGATTCAATCCCAATTTGAATTGGTATATTAAGTAATGAGAACAACCAACCTAAGAGAATTCGTAAAGAACTTTCTAGTTCTTTAATATTTACCCATGTGAATTCTCTTTTATTTTTGCACATCATACTTAAATTGATATGGGTAAACCAACTATGTCAACTGAATAAATTATCAATATTGATAAACTTCAGGTTTACACCATGATGTGTGCAATTATGAATAAACTCCAAGTTTATTATGATATGGGTTTTTATATCAATAAATTTCAACTTTATTGTGGCATTCTTTTGTTTGTGTAGTATAAACTGAAGAATAAAGCGGGTAGCTTTTCACATACATATTACCCAGCTACAAGTTGTAGTAATAGAAGATATTAAATCTTTCCTTTATTTATAGTCTCAATATAATCAATCGCTTTCGCGTATACTTTGGAAACTGAATAAGTTTCTTTGAGAGTTACTACAACACAATAAATTGACATGATAATCAATTGTATTCCTCCAAAATAGTAATAATTGGCTCTTCCAGAGCTCTCAATTAATTTTATACTACCACAGATTCATCAACATCCATGTGATGAATATCTCTTTTGAAGAAAAAGTTATACCATTGTGATCGTGGTCAAATTATATGCAAGATCTGTTTCTTGCATTACCATTGTCTTTTAATAATCACATTGCCATAATATTTTGGCGTACAATAAGTACGTGACTAGTGATCATTCATGCCATAATAATGACAGTATTTTCTTATTTCATCTCAAACCTCCATCTAGAGGTGAGTGTGGTATATTCACTACCACTAGCACGTTCATATTCTTCCAAGAATGAATATGTATTCATAAATTAGATATTGTCACATTCACATCATGAATGGACCATAATCATCTATATGTGCTTTATAAAATCTCATGTCAAATCGATGACAAATATTACTTTCACAGAGTGAAGGATTATTTTGAGAATCCTTATTATTCTCAATATCACAATAATGACGATTATAATTTCGTCTATTATCACGTCCACGTCCATTGATACATTCATAGTAGTAATTTTGTCTTCTTTCAGACTTATCACATACTGCTATCACATTCTCTAAAGGGAATGAGAATGGAGCAAATTCAATTGGACGGGTTTTCAATTCTGTGCCCACAATCATACATGAATTTGATCATGGCAAGGCATAGAAATTTTACCACTTTGGGTGGTTATAATTTCTTTCAAACTCCATTAGAGTTGCAATCAAAATTTATCGTCTTTGCTTGTGTTTAAAATCAAATTATATAATGTCAAGAATTTGAAAGAGAAAAGTAAAATACTTACCTTAAATCCAGAATTTAATCATGAAAGAAGTTCATAGAACAATTGACAATCATTATGCTCAATCCCAAAGTTTCTACTCAATTGGTTAGAGTCTCATGCTGATAACGTGTTATAAAACAATAAAAGAAGAAGAAGAGTATTGCAGAGAAAAGTAGAGGGAGAGAATTCTTATTGAATTTTGGGATAAATTACAATGAAATAGAACCTCTCTATTTATAAGGAGAGAGTGACTTAGCCACCAAGTAATAAACCCTAGAATCTCTCTAAATATAGACATTCACCATAAATAAAATTCTATTTATAACAAAATTAAAAAATAAAAAATAAACCCTAAACAGTAAAAGGAGCTGGCCAACTTTAAAGTATTATACCTAGACAAACAGGGTAATATTAATATCAAACTCTAAATAATAAATGTGGTTTTAGATTTTTGTAGGATAATATTAATGTCAAAACTCCAAAAGTAAAGAAAAAAATGCAAACTGATTAAGAAAAAAAATTACAGACTTCAAATCCTTAGAACTTCAGCAAAGTTAACCAATATTTCAGTGAAGAACAAGCAAAAAAGTAATACGTTTCTAGTGCATATAAATTTTCGAAAATTTCCACAACTATTAAAAAAAATACTTCAATTAACAATGAAGAAAGAAAAAATCTGGTACAAATCAAAAAGCATCTAACATAAGAAGTAGTAATTGGGGAACAAACAGTTGGTAGAAAGCTTAAACCTCCTGTTAATCCCACAACCAACGTGAATTGATTTCAACTGGTAAAAAATATCTTGTTCCTAAAATACCACAATGGCTGAACAAATATCTTGTTCATCAAATGGGTGAAATGGTACCTGTAGATAGAGAACTTAACAATACATCCAAAATCAAAATACCTGTAGAGAGAGAATTTCAATTTGAAGAGATTGCGGTTTCCTACAGAAAGAGAGAGAGAGTCTATTAGTCGGAAGTGTGAAAGGCAGAAGTTTCTAGACTGAAAAGGTTGGGGAAAAAAGGAGGGAGTGTGAAAAAAATTAGGCGCCTTTTTCTTTTAGGGTTGCGGAAATTTATAAGGAATTTTACACCCTATAGAAAAACTTAATGCCCTTTTTATTTTAAAAAACTACTATTTTAAAAAATTATATTATATAGCTACCTTTTACCCTTTATAGCAAAATATTCATTTTTTTTTCGAGGTACAAGTTGGAATGCCGGTGGGTGGCTTTGGGGAGAGATTTATATTTATGTGCTAATCCTTTAGAAAGGATAGATAAAAACATATTTTCTGTTTCAAATTATGGGATTTTTGAACTCTTTTGGTGGAATGAGTGTCTACTGCATGGCGTATTATTTCTCTTGTATTTTTTTTTGCTTTTCCTTTTGTTTAATTGCTGGATAATTGTCTAGTGCATTTTATAGATGCGTGTTAATAGTATTTGATTGACATTCATATTATGCATAAAAACATATGCTCTTCGACAGATATTCGATTTCAGCTTGAAAAAATTTATGATTCACTCACTATATACGCAGGGGCATACTCATATATTTAAAGACATGAGCAAATAAACAGATTGTAATAACAAAGACATAGTGAAATTGGCCTTCGCCACAAAGAAAAGTCCGACCTCGATCGGATAACGATGGGTTAATTTTTTGACAAAAGCTCGAAATAACACCCTTCAAGGCCAAGGGCCTTCGCCAAAAAGAAGAGTTCGACATCGATCGGATAACGACGGGTTTATATTTCGACGAAATCACGAAATAACACCCTTAAAGGCCAAGGGCTTTCGCCAAAAAGAAGAGTCCGGCTTCGATCGGATAACGACGGGTTAATAATTCGATGAAAGCTCAAAATAACACCCTTAAAGGCCAAGGACCTTCGCCAAAAAGATGAGTCCGACCTCGATCGGATAACGATGGGTTAATTTTTCGACAAAAGCTCGAAATAACACCTTTAAAGGCCAAGGGCATTCGCCAAAAAGAAGAGTCCGACTTCGATCGGATAACGATGGGTTAATTTTTCGACAAAAGCTCAAAATAACACCCTTAAAGGCCAAGGGCCTTCGCCAAAAAGAAGAGTCCGACTTCGATCGGAAGACGACGGGTTAATATTTCGGCGAAAGCTCGAAATAACACCCTTAAAGGCTAAGGGCCTTCGTCAAAAAGAAGAGTCCGACCTCGATCGGACAACGACGGATTAATATTTCGACAAAAGCTCGAAATAACACACTAAAAGGCCAAGAGCCTCGCCAAAAAGAAGAATCCGACCTCTATCAGACAACGACGGGTTAATATTTCGACAAAAGCTCAAAATAACATCCTTAAAGGTCACGGGCCTTCGCCAAAAAGAAGAGTCCGACCTCGATCGGATAATGACGAGTTAATATTTCGACGAAAGCTCGAAATAACACCTTTAAAGGCCAAGGACCGTCAGAAAATAGGAAGGGAAAGAAAGACTGGGACTCACAACGGGGTAACACCTCAATGTTGGCGTGAAAATAACACCCCTACAACTAAGATCGTTCTAAGAAAGGGAAGAGAAGAAAAGTTTGATACCATTCGAACTGCGATGGGGTAATGTCTCAACACATCCGAGAGCACCACCCCGTCAACGAAATCCATCATCAAGATCCAATTCAATCCGACTGGCATTAGAGTCCCAAAGAATTAGGGAACTCGTCATACAGGAATCTACTTCGTGCCGAAGTCATGAAAAGCAAAAACAAAGAAAAAAGTACAAGGCATATAACAATGAAAAATTCCTCTTTATACAAAGCCACTGCGCAAACAGTCGCAGATTACGCACGGCTCGAACAACCAGTCTAAAAAGGGAAGAAAAATAATGACAACAAAAAAGGGGGGGGGGGGG